CAATACTTGCCCAAACTCTTCATTCATAATAACATGATACCAACAATTAAGAGCGGTGAAGCATTTAATTATTTAGGACGTTACTTTGACTTCAACATGTCGAATGAGAACCACAAGTATGAACTTATTACCCTTATCAGTGAGTTAATGTCTGAAATTGACTCAAAACCACTCCATCCAAAGAATAAACTTCGTGTATATAGTCGTTATGTCCTATCAAAACTGTCATGGCATTTCACCGTCGCTACACTCTCAAAACATGGGTCATCGAAAATATTGATTCCGTAGTCAATCAATACATCCGTAAATGGCTAGAGATTCCAATCTCGGGAACACTTAGTTCTGTTTTCATAACTTCTAATAAATTCGGCCAAGGTATCTATCCTCCATCTGTAAAATTCATTCAATGCCAAACTGTTATTCGGAAAGCCTTAAAACTCTCTCCTAATGAAGAAATTAACGAGTTGTGGAAATCTACTAATACGCACACTAATATTCAATATGACGCCTATAACAGTTCGAAAGAAGTAATTAAAGATTTCCGCTTAGGACATGAAGTTAAACTCCGAGACCAGCTTCATATTCAAGGATCCTTTTTCTCCAGTGTAACAAAGTTATCATTATTACAGCTAAACAAGGTGTGGTCTATCGCTCAATCCAAGCTTCCAAAGAATATTTACAACTTTACCATACGATATATCAATAACTCTCTTCCCACACGCAAAAACTTAAACAGATGGGGAATATCTTCGAGTTCAGAATGCACTTTTCGCCTTAACCCGGAGTCGTTATTACATGTGGTGGCTGGATGTCAATTTTATCTTGAGCGGTTTACATGGAGGCATAATTCGATCTTAAACTTTCTTGCTGATACATTGCAATCAGTAAATGATTGTACCCTTTACGCTGATATACCAAATTTCAAGAGTCCTACCATTATTACTGGTGATACATATCGTCCAGATTTGTTATTATCTTGCTCAAATGGTTCCCTATATGTGGTCGAGCTCACCGTCGGGTATGAGTCCAACCTAAGGAATAACGCTAAGAGAAAGAAATCTAAATATGAACAATTAATTTATCAGCTAAATGAAAAGTTTAAAAAAGTGAAATTTGTAAATCTTTCTATGAGCTCGCTAGGTGTATTTGGGGAAGAATGTTCCTCATTTTTAGGTATGTTGAAAGACATCGGTATTAGTGAAAATCACCAAATGCACTGTGTAAGAAAAATGTCCAGCATAGCTATTCGTGCCTCTTATTACATTTTCTGCCGCAGAAATAAAGAATGGGAAAATCCAAACTTACTAAATTTTTAAAATATCTGAACTTATAATTCTATCTATATAAAGTAATATATATACATATATAGTCAATATTGATATAAATTCTTGTTTTTGTTAAATATTAGGATATTAGTTGTGGTTCAAGTAGCCGATTGTAAATTACCTTGATAAAGTGAGATTTGCAATTGTATTATGTAAAAACAAAAGTCAAATAAAGTTTTCATTATTATTATTATTATTATTATTATTATTATTATTATTATTATTATTATTATTATTATTATTATTATTATTATTATTATTATTATTATTATTATTATTATTATTATTATTATTATTATTATTATTATTATTATTATTATTATTATTATTATTATTATTATTATTATTATTATTATTATTATTATTATTATTATTATTATTATTATTATTATTATTATTATTATTATTATTATTATTATTATTATTATTATTA